TATTATTACTACTCAAAATACCCAACTGTGTTGCCTAATATATTTGTAGAAACTGTGATATGAAGAATTTTTCTTTTATGAATAGAAAGTTCTTTAAAGGGGTCATCGGATGCAAAATTCACTTTTACATGTTGTTTGAACTGAAATGTGCCTTGGCAGTGTGTGTACACAACCACCCTATAATGATAAAAATCCACCCAGTGTTTTTTTTTTTTTAAATCTCGATAAATTCAAACCCCTATCTAAAATCAAGCCGTTTTCATATTCCTGTCTGTGTGATGTCACACTGGCAGGCCCCTCCCACGATAGTTAATTGACACTGGCATTTCAGCAAAGACCCGCCCTGAGTGAGCTGTGAACAGTCCGCCATTGTTTAGATGCCGGAGCAGGTGTAGACATGAATGTCTCGTAAGCGATTGAGGTGTTTTGTTGTTGGATGTAATAATGAACATAGCAGTCGTCATTTACTCCTGACATCTGAGCCGTTGAAGACGCAGTGGATTAATTTTGTTTTTGAAGGGAATGCACCCCCCGATCAACCTAAATGTGTCTATGTTCGTGCGAATCATTCGTGATCCAGCTTCACCAACAGGTTTTTTAAAGGGGTCATATGATGTTGCTAAAAAGAACATTATTTTGTGTATTTGGTGTAATAAAATGTGTTTATGCGGTTTAAGGTTCAAAAAACACATTATTTTCCACATACTGTACATTATTGTTGCTCCTCTATGCCCCGCCTTTCTGAAACGCGTCGATTTTTACAAAGCTCATCGGTCTGAAAAGCGAGGTGTGCTCTGATTGGCCAGCTATCCAGTGCGTTGTGATTGGCCGAATACCTCAAGCGTGTGACGGAAATGTTATGCCCCTACCATACTGTGATGCCCTGTCAGGCCGGAGCGACGATTCAAAAACATGAAAACCCATTACAAACGAGGCATTTGTTGCATCCAGTGGGGACATATTTATGGATTATAATGACTTATACTGTCTTTTTACGCGTTGCATCGCACCGCGTAAACATAAAACCATGTCTGCATTTGTGATCGGAGAAATGACAAACAAGCGCTACTCTACACTGCTCAAAACTCGCGTTTGAATCATCAGTGGCAAATCCTTTAAATATAAAAAACTTACTTACAGTCTGTGAATCAGACCAGCCAGCATTGTCGTCTACTCTTCCAGGATCAGGAAACAGTCCTCCATAAAATGTGCTGCACACATCTGAATATTTGTGTTGAACTGTTCTGGAACAGTTTTGTAAATACAACTTAACCACTGATTTCTAGTCGTGTCCTCTTTTGGAAGGCCAAAAAAAGTAGTATCGCTTTCACAACGAAACACCCAGCATCACACTCAGCGGGGCTAGAGTGAGTGGCACGGCCGGTGGGCTTGCAGCAACCACATGTGACAACCCCGGGCTGGACTCCGCTTCGTCCACAGTGAAAGCCGATCCGGCGATCCACAGGTCGAAGTTGATGTATTTCCTCAGCGACCAGCACGGATCAGCTCTAGGCATGACGAAGCGGATATCGTCCTCTTTTGGAAGGCCAAACAAAGTAGTTTCACTTTCACAACAAAACACACAGCGTCTTCACGACATGGCGGCATCAACAATACTACAGCAAGAATAAAAGTTACGCCTTCTTTCTTTGCGTGAACATTTGGGCGGTGTTATGCAAATCTTCCCACATCGTGACGTAGATATGTGGGGGCGTGTTAGAACGAGCTGTTTTAGGTAGGCGTGGTTGACTCTTAACTTTTATAAAGAATATCTCTTTGGATTTGAGACTTTAGTCTTTGCAAACTTTACAGATCTTCTTTATGCACCAAGAGCTTGTAACACTCCAAAGAGAAAGGAAAAATTTAAATCGCATCATATGACCCCTTTAGTGAATTGCAAATCGCCTTTCTTAATAATGTGCTAGTTAGCAAGTTTCACGATGAATGCAGCTAAAGTTTACAGTCTCTCAGAGAAGTGAGCGTCACCCCACAGAAGAGAGGGGTGGGGTGAGCAGAGGTTATTAGCATTTAAAGGGAAATGTACCAAAATGGCTTGCTGTAAACAGAGCTGTTTTTGACAGGTTAAAAGGGTGTTGTTTTACACTACCATTGAGAAATTTTAGCCAAAGTATAGACTTTTCATTAAGACTCTAATGTATCATATCAACTTGTGGAAAATGGGCATCCCCTTTAAGTTTTGCTCAATTTAATGCATTCTTGCAGAATAAAAGTATTAATTTCTTTCATAAAAAATTATATTTTACTGACTGGTGGTGATATTTTACATTGTGACATTACTTTATTTTCATGATTAAATTTAGAAATGTAATGATGGACATTCAAAAAATTCTTATTCTCATTACTGTAATGCAAAAAAAGTTAAGTATTTATACATCATGATTTTATTTGTCAAACTGCCTTTTTTATATTGAAATAAAATTGTTGTAATACATGTTCAAAAATATAAAATTTAAATATACAAAATATAATATATGTATATATATATATATATATATATATATAAACTTTCGAAAAATAAAATATATAATATAAATATATAAAATACATAATATACTGTATAGTTGATTATAAAATAAAATTACTGTGTAAGAGTAATGAAAATCGATAAAGTAAAACATCTGATTGTTATAAAAATATTAAATTAAAAAGAAAATGTTTGTTTACACAAAAGCCACACTTACAACATCTGAATTTCATTGCATTACTGTACAAAATACCAAACCAAGTGACTTCTGCAAACAAATGGCTTAAGCTTTCCTAAACGTCAACGGCATTCATAGATATCATAGATCTTTAAGTGTATGATAGTTTTTGGAGCCATAGTCACCTGGGCAGGTTTAAGTTAGATTCACCCAGACATTTTCTCACTGTAGGCAGAAAACGTGCGTTGGTCGGAGGGACAGCTGGAGCTGGAGTCTCAGCTGAAGACCGTGTGTGGTGATGTGCTTGTGGCTGCTGCTTTCGTCTCTTACGCTGGATACTTCACACAGCCGTACCGTCGCCAACTCCTTCACGACATACTCATTCCTTTCCTCCGAGAACTCCAAGTATGATTCCTGCTCAGCCTGTCCATTATTTGATTTATATAGTGTTTTGCATTTATGTAATTCTTAGCCACATGAATATTTTATTTAATAAAAATTTGATGTTAAATTTCAGTCGGCTTTTGCCAACTCTTGTTTCACTTGTCAAGGTTAAGAGTGTTTTGGATCATTGTTTCTTCCTGAGCTGTCTACTGTAAAATCCTGTTACTGTACTACTGTGTCTGCACTCCAGTGGAGCGTTGAATTGAATAGCATCACTGTCTGTCTTCCTCTCCTCACACCTCGCGATCCAGACCCCTATCCCGCTGACAGACGGTCTGGACCCTGTACTTACGCTGACTGACCAGGCCACCGTGGCAGGCTGGCAGAACCAGGGCCTGCCAGCTGATCGGCTGTCCGTTGAAAATGCAGCCATCCTGATAGCCAGCCAGCGCTGGCCTCTGATCGTGGATCCTCAGCAGCAGGCCACCAAGTGGATCCGAAATCTGTACGGGCCCAACCTGAGGGTGCTGCAGTATGGCCAGACAGGGTGAAGTGGTTTTAGTTTGGACAAAGATTATTTATATGAAATAATATAAAGAAGGCAATGAGGCTGACTTGTCTTGTCCTGGACTGTTAATTGTTATCATACAGGTATCTGGATGTTATTGAGCAGGCTTTGGCTGCTGGTGAGGTGGTCCTGATTGAAAACATGAAGGAGAGAGTGGACCCTCTTCTGGAGCCACTGCTAGGAAGGCAAACCTTAAAGAAAGGAAGGCAGGTTTAACCATCTCCGTGATGTTTACTTATTTTATACCACTGATTCTCTCATTGAGTGTATTGCAGTAAAAATTGCTCAGAAAAATGCAGCATATTTTAGCATACAATCTTTGCTGAGCTCTTAAGAGCCCCATTTTTTGCTCAGTTTTCAGTATGAGAACTAGAATGGAAGATGAATTAGGGTTGTGTGATTTGAATAGAGGTGAAGGCAGCGGTATTGATTCTGCACTCACAGAAGCTGATAAATGTGCATTTGTTTGCTCTTTTTCTTTATGTGTGTTGAATACGGATCAGTTTTGGGCAGCCAGTGTTGTGTCTTAACCCTGAGACAACAATATATATATATATATATATATATATATATATATATTTGTTTTTTCCCCAAAATATATTAAATTATAAATTATATAATGTTTTTAATCCGTTAGATTATTTAATCTCAGTTTTTTTTTTCTTTTTTTACAGTACAGACAATAAAATGGGGTCTTTGTTCTGTTTTTTGGTAGGTTTTTGTTTCTGAATCTGAATGAAAACTAACTAGAAAACTAAATTATATCTATATAATATAATTATTTGGTTTTTGTTTTCTTGTTTTGTACTACAAAAGCAGAAAAAAACTATTGTTAACTTCACATTTATATTCTTCAACAGAATAATTAAAATAATCAGTGTTTATCAGGTATTTCTAGGATGTGTGAATAGATGCAACACCTCATCTGTTATTCTTGTTTTTCCAGCGTGCGGAGTTATTAATTTCTCAGCTCTTATTTATCTCTTTCTAGTCTTTTGTCCTTGTAGCATTGTACCATGGGGACACCTACATTCCCCCTCTTTTGACCCATAACTGTGGCCCGATGTTTAATTTGATTACAAGTTTATTCCAGCGCCTGACCCACGCACCGGTCCGTTCCTGTGATTAATCCGGCCCGGCCACGGCAGCCATGATGGATATGGTGCGGTTTCTCGGCTGAAGTTCATTAATAATTGGAATGTTGCAGAGTGTGAAGTAATGAATACTAATTATTCCTTTCATGTCTGACGGAGGAGCATGAGCCAATCCATCAGCTGGGACTTTAATTTGGTGAAGTAATGGTTCTATCAATAGTACATTAATTCCATCTTTTGAAGAAATAGAGCCGGAGCGGACCCGGGCCTTGGCGAAACCTTTGGCATGAGTGTTGTTGCCGCTGGCTGACAGGGACAGGGTAATTAGGGAAAAATTAAAAGCCGCCACTTTGGCCAGCCAGCCTTGATTTAATTGAAATGCAGATTGGGATAAATATTGGCTGCTGGGAATATCATCTTCCAGTTTTATTTAACGCCTTTGCCTGTGGTGGCTATTGGGAGCATTAGTCATGCTTTTCTGTTTGCTTCAATTAGATATGTTGGTGAAACTGGTGTCTAGTACGGGTGGAATGCTCTTTCCGGCTCTTTGCGTAGATGGCAAGCTTTTTTCACAGAGCGCTGTTTAGTATAATTTAGTGTAGTCACATTCTGAATTCATAACACAGTGTGGTGTTTCTACAGGTACATCAGACTGGGTGATAAGGAGTGTGAGTATAACAGCAGTTTCCGTCTCCTGCTGCACACTAAGCAAGCCAACCCTCACTTCCCCCCGGAGCTGCAGGCCCAGACCACACTTATAAACTTCACAGTGACCCGCGCTGGCCTGGAGGAGCAGCTACTAGGCGAGGTGGTCACGCATGAAAGGCCTGAGCTGGAGACGATGAAGGTCAGTTACAGACGTTTCTCATAATGATCTCACATTATATAAAGAGCTAAATAAATTAGATTTGCATTTCCCAAAGGCAATAAAAACATTTTTAAGTCCTACCTCTCTGATCGCAAGCAGTTTGTTGTGATGGGTGGTTGCAGGTCTGAGGTCGGTGTGGTGCACTCTGGTGTTCCCCAGGGATTAGTTTTGGGCCCTTTACTTTTTAGTATTTACATTTTTCCATTTGGCCAACTTTTAAGAACAATTGGTCTTAACTTTCACTTTTATGCCGATGACACTCAGATCTACATACATTCAAAACCTGATGTCAATATGTCTGTGTCTTTTCTTTCTCAATGTTTTACTGTGATTAAAAAATGGATGTCTGAAAACTTTCTCTGTCTAAACAGTGACAAGTCTGAAGTGATGCTGATTGGTTCACCTCACCAGTTGCACAAAGCAGAGTCCGTAACCTTAAGTGTGGATGGCTCTGCTTTACAGTTTCAAACTAAACTAAAAAATCTGGGGGTGATATTTGACGCCAATTTGATCCGCATGTTCGTAATACAGTCAAAGCATCTTTTTTTCATCTCAGAAACATTGCCAAATTACGTCCCATGTTGACTTTTTCTGTGGCTGAAAAATGAATCAACACTTTTGTTTTTTCACGTATTGATTATTGTAATGCTTTGCTGGCTGCGGTTTCAAAAGCTACCCTAAGTGAATTACAGTTGGAACTTGGTACAAAATTCAGCTGCTAGAATTCTGACTAGGACCAGTGCAAGGGAGCACATCACACCTATCTTGGAAAAAATGTCACTGGCTTCCTGTTAGTTTTCGTATTGATTTTAAAATTCTCATGCTCACTTATAAGGCATTGAATAATTTGGCTCCTCAATATTTGTGGGAGCTTTTAACCCCCTACACGTGTTCTATGCTCTTCTGAAGCTGGTCTTTTAACTGTTCAAACAACTCTGCTAAAAACTATTGGTGATCAGGCTTTCTCTTCTTTGGCTCCTAAATTGTGGAATTCCCTGCCCTCTGAGATTAGGAATGCAGAATCCCTTAGTGTTTTAAAAAATGTTTAGGGTAGCTTTTATGTGATTTATGTGATTACTTTGTTTTTTTTATTATATTGGCTTTGTATTGTTTGGTTGGTTCTTTACTGCCTGTACTGTTGTGTGTATGGTTTAACGTCATATTTTTGTATGTATGTAAAGCGCTTTGAGATGCTACTTTTAAAGGCGCTATATAAAATAAAGTTTATTAGAATAGTGCGAACGTTTTTGGTCATGGTTACAACTTTGCAAGGAAGAAAAGACCAGAAAGAAAATAATTTTTTTTCCATCTTTCATAAACAGGAGATATTCCAACTTGAATCTTAACTTTTTACTTTAAACATTTCTGAAAAAATTAAAATGTAAATAAAATAAAATTTTTAATAAATAAATAAAAGCATGCAATGCAATATTTGTGAATGTCCCCATTTTTTATTAATTTTATTACACTGTTTTATGTATTTGTCCTATTTAATACTAAATTCAATCTCAAAAATGTAATTTAATAAGACAACTGTCCTGACAATGTCTATTTTTGATTGCTTCAGTTGGAATTAAGCACCCAGCAGAACTTGTGTCAGATTGAGCTGAAGAGACTAGAGGATGAGCTGCTGAGCAAACTGTCAGCAGCAGAGGGAAACTTCCTGCGAGATACAGCCTTAGTGGAACAGCTAGAATATACTAAGAATACAGCCAGACACATCCATAACAAGGTATGGTCCAAACTGTCCATTTACCTCATCTTGTTGATGTTTGCTCGGATCCTTTTTTTTTGCATTGTTCGTGCAAGATGGACTCAAAAACAATGTGTTTGTTAAAAAAAAACGAATATGGAAATACAATAAACTGGAAAATGTAATTACAACACTGAAATAAGAAAAGAAAATCAACGTTCATTCCAATAGCATGCTATAGTAAAGTGTATAATCATGATTCTTCTAAGAATTAGTATCTGGTTTTATATCTCAACAATTGTGATGTTTACACAGGCTGTTGCAGCTCGAGAGAACGAGATAAAGACCAATGATGCGCGAGATCTTTACCGGCCAGCGGCTGAGAGAGCCGCCTTACTCTACTTCACCATTAAAGAGCTCCACAACATTAACCCCATGTACCAGTACTCCCTCAAGGTAACACACTATACTGGAAAAAGTGAAAATGTATTTACTACACAGTATCTACATTACCATTCAAAAGTTTGGCGTTGGTAAGATTTTTTATATTTTTATTGTTTTGAGTCTCTTATACTCACCATAGCTGCATTTGATTGATCAAAAAACACAGAAAAACAGTAATATTGTGAAATATTATTGCAATGTAAAATATTGTTTTCTAAATATATTTTAAAATGTCATTTATTTCAGTGACAAAGCTGAAATTTCAACAGCCATTACTCTAGTCTTCAGTATCACATGATCCTTTAGAAATCATTCTAATATGCTGATTTGGAAATGTTTATTCTCATTATCAATGTCATTTTCCAGATTTTTGATGCATAGAAAAGTTCAAAAGCATTTATTTTAAATATAAGTTGGTTTGTAACCATTTCAAACCATCTTTACTGTTACTTTTGATCAATTAATGCATCCTTGTTGAAAACAAAAATTACTGACCTTAAACTTTTGACTTGTTTATTTAAAAAATATTAAACTATATTTTGGCCTAAATAAAACGTTAATTTACTTTAAAACCATAAAATCAAGTTGATCTTGATTGTACATGTACAAGTACTCTTTCATTATTTAAAAAAAAAAAACAGCGAAATCATAATCCCAGATATATATGGTAAATATGATATCATATCACCATTGGAAGGAATTCCAGTATACTATTGGGCACAATCCATTAGCATTGCCATTCATCTCAATAACAGTTGCAGAAATGCTGTATCTTTGCTTTTCCAAATAATGCTATTATTTCAGCTCAACTGAACTTTATTTTACATTTAAGACCTTCAACAAAGTGTTCCTCAAAGCCATTGCGAGAGCTCCTGGTGATGAAGACGTATCAGTGCGTGTTTTATCTCTCACTGAGGCCATCACCCACTCGGCCCTTCAGTACACCTGCCAGGGGCTCTTCCAGAGGGACCGACTCACCTTCCTCACCCATACCGCCCTCCAGGTGAGTGGGACGGGATGCCGGCAGAATAGAAACACCTCCCATCCACCCACCACCACCTCCTCCCTTCCTCCTCCTGCACTTTGTCATTCACATCAATCACTCCACTTTTCTGCCCTTACATTAAGTTCCATTAGGCCCTGTCAGTGGAGTCAGGTCCGCTCCTATTGATTAACTCTCACAGCCCGGGCACCCCTCTCCCTCAACCGGTCAGCTCTGACAGGAGGGTGGGCCGCAGTGGCAGAATGCAAATACCTGTCAGGACAGCACCTGTTTTCCCTGCTGCTGTCTGTCTCCACTGCATGTCCTTCACACGTCCACATCAAACAGAGTAAAGCTGTTCTGAGATCCGCTTGTCCTTCTCTGATGGATGGAGACATCTGTATTCAACAGACCTGAGCTCTAATGTCCTCATTTCTTTGCACCTCTGGTGTTTTATTTAGATTCTTCTGACGAGGGGCTTCATTGAGGCTCAGGACCTGGAACTTCTACTGCGATTTCCAGTAGAGGTTTGTCAGAGCAGTCCCGTCTGCTTCCTGTCTCCACAGGCCTGGGGTGCCATTAGGGTAAGAACTGCCTGTACCTGGAAATCACTCTCTTTCATGTGTTCAGATGTCATTAAGCATTGCCATTTAGAAAATGATTAGTCTGAAGCACCTTTTCAACCTCTAAATAAGTGCATATATAAAATTAGTATTATATAATATGTATGAATATGCAACATTTTCAATTGATTTTAAAATTGATTCTAATCATTTTAACAGATTAACTTTTACATCCCTAAAAACAATGTGTTTTTTTTTTGGCCTTGCAATTCTATTGGGGTCTCTGGAAACTAAATTTGAGTTTAAAATCTAGATCTAGATCTATTCAAAAAGTAAGTTATTTTTTTAATCTAAAAGTAGCATATGGGTTTGAAAATAAGGATAAGTAAATAATAATTTAGAATTTAAATAAGATTTCACAAGAATGTGAATATTCATAGAAAATATATGGAGGATATAAGAATTTAAGAGGATTTTAATAAATCTTTAAAGACTCATCTTTTTAAAACTGCTTACTGTGAATATGTTTTATATTGTTTCTTTTTTGTGTTGCTTATTGTTGTATACTATTATGCTTGTTGTTGTAACGCTTTGGGTTAAGATAAGTGCATGATAGATAAAATTCATTATTATTATTATATATGCTATTCATATCATCATTATTAAATATAATAGTTCAGTGTTTTATAAAAATATTTTTGAAGATTGATCCTTTTTTTAAGTACCAAACCTAAAACCTCATTTCATTGCAGAGCTTGTCCATGCTGGATGCATTCACGGGTCTGGACAGGGATGTGGAAGGTTCTGGCAAACGCTGGAGGAAGCTGGTGGAGTCAGAGTGTCCAGAAAGAGAACGTCTCCCTCAGGACTGGAAGAATAAGAGTCCCCTCCAGAGACTCATCATTCTCAGAGCCTTTCGGCCTGACAGGATGACCTACGCTCTCCGGTAATGAGCATTCTTCAGAGAACCATCAGAGAACAACCAATATCTGTCTAAAATTTTACTTTAAAATCAGCTGGAGGCTGGGTTTGAAACACCAATGTTTTTTTTACCAATTGTCTTTTTACACCAGAAATTTTATTGAGGACAGTTTGGGCTCCAAGTATGTAGATGTCAGTCGAATGGAGTTTGAAAAGTGTTTTGAGGAGTGCAATCCCTCTACACCAGTGTTCTTCATCCTTTCTCCTGGAGTCAACCCCATCAAGGATGTAGAAACACTTGGTAAACACAGAATCTCTTTACACTTAGCCTAACTTGTAACATAATCAGAGTATTAAACTTATATCTATTAACTAGGGCTGAAGCTTGGATTTACCACAGACCAGGGGAACCTCCATAATGTATCCTTGGGTCAAGGACAAGAGATTGTGGCTGAGAGAGCATTGGAGACCGCAGCCAAAAAAGGACATTGGGTCATACTGCAGGTAGAACATTTTTGGTTCATTTCTTACCAAATCAACCTACAATAAAGTGTCCAAAACATGGAAAACGTTAGAAAACTACAAACAGAATAAATGTCAAGTGTTACCCTGGAGAGCAGCCATTATTTAGAAATATAGGACCACTTAATACCACAATTGACCAGTCAGAATAGATTTCCAAAGGACTATTTTGCCAAAAATGCTTCTGATACATGTGGATATGCGACCCTGGACCACAAAACCAGTCGTAAGTAGCACGGGTATATTTGTAGCAATAGCCAACAATACATGGTATGGGTCAAAATGATACATTTTTCTTTTATGTCAGAAATCATTTTAATCAGGATATTAAGTAAAGATCATCTTGCATGAATATATTTTGTAAATTTCCTACCGTAAATATATTAAAACTCAATTTTTGATTAGTAAAATGCATTGCTAAGAACTTCATTTGGACAACTTTAAAGGCGATTTTCTCAATATTTAGATTTTTCTGCCCCCTCCGATTCCAGATTTTCAAATAGTTATCTCGACCAAATATTGTCCTATCCTAACAAACCATACATCAATGGAAAGCTTAATTATTCAGCTTTCAGATTTAAAAAAAATTGACCCTATGACTGGTATTGTGCTCTAGGGTCACATATGTATGTTCTTGTAAATTTCATTTCTGTTTCAGAATGTTCACCTGCTGGAGCGGTGGTTGGGTCGTCTGGAGGAGCTGTTGGAGAACACAGGCAGCGATGCTCACTTAAACTACAGAGTGTTTATGAGTGGAGAACCGTCCTCCAGCTCCCATGAGCACCTCATCCCTCGCACCATCCTGGAGAACGCCCTCAAACTCACTTCTGAACCACCCACCGGCATGAACTCCAGCCTACATGCAGCTCTGGACAATTTCACCCAGGTCTTCACACACTTGACACAGACAAAATCAGTGAATTCACATGCGGACCAGTCAGACATTCTATTCGGTTTACTATTAAAGGGGTCATATGATGCGATTTCAATTTTACCTTTCTCTTTGGAGTGTTATAAGCTCTTGGTGCATAAAGAAGATCTGTAAAGTTGCAAAGACTAAAGTCTCAAATCCAAAGAGATATTCTTTATAAAAGTTAAGTCAACCACTCCTACCTAAAACGGCTCGTTCTAACACGCCACCACATGTCTACGTCACGATGTGGGAAGATTTGCATAACACCGCCCAAATGTTCACGCAAAAAAAGAAGGCGTAACTTTAATACTTGCTGTTGTCGCCGCTGCCATGTTGTGGAGTCGCTGTGTGTTTTGTTGTGGAAACGAAACTACTTTGTAGCAGTGTAGAGTAGGCTTGTTGTTTGTTGTTTCTCCAATCACAAATGCAGATGTGGTTTTATGTTTACGCAGCGCGATACGCAACACAACGTGTAAAAAGACAGTATAAGTCATTATAATCCGTAATTATGTCACCACTGGATGCAACAAATGCCTCATTTGTAATGGGCTTTATTGGTTTTGTCTCGTCCTGCTGTGAGACGGCATCACATTATGTTAAGGTGCGTAATATTTCCGTCACACGCTTGAGGTATTCGGCCAATCACAACGCACTGGATAGCTGGCCAATCAGAGCACACCTCGCTTTTCAGACCAATGAGCTTTGTAAAAATCGACGCGTTTCAGAAAGGTGGGGCATAGAGGAGCAACAATAATGTACATTATATAGAAAATAATGAGTTTTTTGACCCTTAAACCACATAAACACATTGCATTACACCAAATACACAAAATAATGTTCTTTTTAGCAACGTCATATGACCCCTTTAATAGAAAAAGTGGAAACTAGTACTCCTATAGAATGAGTAGAATGAAGTGACAAAAGAATGAGGTGTCCACACTTTTGACTCTTAATTTCCATTCTACAGGACACTCTGGAAATGTGTTCTCGAGAGCAGGAGTTTAAAGGACTTGTGTTCTCACTGTGTTACTTCCATGCCTGTGTGACTGAGAGGAGGAAGTTTGGGCCTCAGGGTTGGAACCACAGATACCCATTTAACAATGGAGATCTGACCATCTCTGCCAGTGTTCTGTACAACTACCTGGAGGCCAATACTAAAGTAAGAGACCAGCATTCATTAACCTGAAAAAATATAATGATTCCATCATAATATCAGTGAATTATATTTTTTGATAAGTTAATACTTTTATTCCGCAAGGATACATAAAACTGATCAATAATGACAGGAGCCATGTTTCCATCACCTTGTTTTTATGCACATTTTGAAGTATCACATCACACATCACAGTTTTTGATTTGTGCGAAAAAGGGTCAATTCGAAATAATGAGAGATGAAAACGCATTTGCCGAATAAATTCCTCCATGCGCATCAAAAACAGCATGTGACTGCGCAATGGGACGGCATAACCTGACTAACCAGCAGACTGATCTTGTTGCACATCATCTGAAATGTTGTTATGGTCATTCTGAAATGCCTGAGCAAAGTCTGTCGTCAAAGTATTTCTGAATAAGTGCCTCCTAGAACTGTCTTACACGTCTGCGTTTCCAAACAGCTTCCACCTCCGAAAGCAATGGCTGCATTTATAGTGTTTCGTCTGCTTGCTCTGAGGCGCAAGTAATTTATTATAAAGGAAAAGGATTATATTCAGTGGCTTCTCCTTCTTTTCTTAGGGATATTTACTTTTCCCACATTGCTGTATAATTTCATCACACAAAGCGAAGTCACGATCTCACTGTGTCATGAGTGTCAAAAAATCATGTTTTTCCTCTCGCAGCATTACTTCACTTACAACCAATTATGGCGGCTCTAGATTTCACCCCTCCCCTCAAAAAACAAATGTCCTTCATTATGTTAACCAAACAGTAACCTGTATGTGCGTACACTGAGGATTCATTAGGCGGCAAATGAAGCGTCATGCTAAATGTAATTACACGCGTTGTGCATGACACCTTACAACGCTTTATAAGTGATCACTGCAATTAGAGCTGATGAAAGAAGCAATTTGCAAAACAATACAGGTACAAATGATGGTGAACCTCTAGCGTCTGTCATCGGTTATAAGACACACGGTCCCTTGTTCTTCTCTCCTTTACAATTGCACATCATTCGCTCTATTCTCAGGCCAGACTTAAGCCAAGCACAGCAGGAGTTCAGGAAGAGCTTGATCTTTGCTTGAATTATACATGAACTGAATTTCTTTTTGTCTGGTGTAGAGCCATTTGAACACTACAGGATGCTCCCATCACCCAACATCAGTTCCTCAACTCATACTCGTGAGAAATCAGAATGAGTTTTTTATTTTATTTTTTTTTTAGCAAGAAAATCACTGCATCCAACATCTAGCCCTTTTAGCAGTTTTCACCATGTATTTTTTTCCCTCTGTCAGAACTTGCCAACCTGGCTGAAAATAATGCTGTGAGTATTAAACGCAGGGCGCTGAGGGATCAGTTTGTGCTGGAGGTTTGACATTTAGGTGTGTTAATATGTGTGGCTCAGGTACCGTGGGAGGATCTGTGTTATCTGTTCGGAGAGATCATATACGGAGGTCACATCACTGACGAGTGGGACAGGAAGCTCTGCCGAACGTACCTCCAGGAGTTCATCAATCCCAAGATGGTAAAGACATTCAGAGCACTGTAATGTACTACAACGCCGCACCAAACATAGTTGATCAAAGCACTGTTAAATCATCTGCTTTTGCTTCAAGACAGAATTCATGTACATTTTAAGGTCATACAGCTAAAAAACAAACGCTTCAGAAGTAGAATTTGAAGTTGCGCGAGCATTGGCTCAACAAACTAAGAGATGCACACCAGTAGTTCTCAACCAGAGGGCCTCTGCAGCCTTGCTAAAAAAAGACATACTGTGCAATCAAGATATATTTTTATCCAACAACAGCTTTTGTTTTTATTAAAGAACATACAGTCTTTAACCTTTAGAATCACAAAATGAATTGGGTTTAATTAATTTACCTAAATAGACACGCCCGGTTTGTAATAATTGCAACCGCGAGAAATCAGTGTAATTGTGAGATATTAACAGATAGGTCTTTTGCATTTCTTTTGTATTGTTGATTTAGTTTTGAGATGTTGGCGTTGCACACAAAAGTGGAGGTAGATTAATGTGAGCTTGCAGGGACAGGATTTAAAGGGATAGTTCATCCAAAATGAACTAAATGATTGGATAAGCCCTATACACAGTACATTATCAGAGAGATGTTTGTTGCTGCACCCAAAGATCGAGTTATGATATTTTGATTAAACAATACTTGGTTAAAAAAAAATAAAAAATTAAACATATGTATGAATCATTAACAATGATCCTCTCACTGTGAGGTATAAAGTAGTAATTGTGAGAAATAAAGTCAGAATTACCTTTTCAAATGAGTGAAATCTGCAGATTTTTAGAAGTAATGTAGATTTGCAAAGAGATCTCGATTTATCTAGCCTATTCAAGTGCTTCATTCAAGTTCTGCAGGCAGCATGTTAAAATTAGACTATAAAAGTTTGTCTGTGGACCTCACACAACTACCTTTGAACAGATCAGGTTTGTACATGTAAATACTGCAGCTCTATGGGGCTCTCTAGTGGTGAGGATCTACATTGCATGACACAATTTTCCTTGTGAGACAGTTTATAAGCACAGATAACAAAATAGAAGCTGCATGTATTAAATGTCTTTTTGTTCCCACATACCGAAGACATGTTTGTTGTGTTCAGGCCAGGGTTCTCACGTTTGATCTTATCTTAAGTGTGTCTTTTCTGGAGTGGTGTTTGTGCGAGGTAATTAAGGCAGTGGTCAGGCATGCAGCCCAGTGCTTCCTCACTGAGTCTCATTAGGCCCCAAGATGAGCAGCCATCAATCACAGAGCTAGTCTTTAGCCTTTCCACAGAGCTGCATTACTCTCCCAGTGTCCAGCACCAGCCCTGCTATCGATTACCACACACACCTTTATCCGTTACTGAGCAGTACTCAAAGGTTTAGCATGTTACAGTGTTTATCAGGACAAAATATTGTGCAGAAAAAAAACAAGTTATCATATTTGCAACCTAAAATCCTGTTGAGTCGCTTGACTTGTTGTTTGAATCTGTCTTTTGGTTACCAGACAAGATCTTTAACCTCCATGCTCACCCTCTCCAATATGAATCCCAAAAGACTGTCCTCTCATCAGCTATGAAGCATCTTCCTGTTACTCCATGATCTCTCTTTGCAGTTTGAAGGAGAGCTGTTCCTGTGTCCTGGGTTTCCAGCTCCTCCTGATCTGGAGCACACTGGGTATCACAGCTACGTGGATGACAGATTGCCCTCGGAAAGCCCTGGTCTCTACAGCATGCACCCTAATGCTGAGATTGAGTTTATGACAGCCACGTCTGATGCCCTCTTCAAAACTTTACTGGACCTCCAGCCCAGAGACTCATCAACAGGAGAAGGAGCATCACAGTGCACAGAGGAGAAGGTAAAACTATTCATTATCATTAATATTATTGTCATCATCATCATTATCAATGTTGAAAACAGCTGTGCAGCTTTTTTTTCTGGTGGAAACAGTGACTTTTTTAAATAGTTTTTATTTGCATTATATATCAAAGATGCATTAAAATGAATCAAAAGTGAAAGTAAAGACCGTTATAATATTATAAATTTTTTTTGATGCAATGCAAATAAAAACTATTCCTCTACTATTTAGTATATTGGCTACTGACTTCTTTAAAGTACATTAAAGGGAGAGTTCACCCAAAAATCCACGTTATTTACTAACCCTTAAGTTTTTTTCAAAGCTGTATGACTTTCTTTCTGCTGTTGAACACAGAAGAAAATATTCTGAAGAATGTTGTAGCCATTGACTTCCATAGTATGGAAAAAAAAATACTATGGAAGTCAGTGGCTACTGTCAGCTGTCTGGTTATCACCATTGTTCAAAATATCCTTTGTGTTCAGCAGAAGAAAGAAACTCATACAGGTTTGGAACAAGTGGAGGGTGAGTAAATGATAACAGAATTTTCATTTTTGGGTGAACTATCCCTTTAATGCTTTTCTACCATTTTCTACTAGTGAATACGTTAATAAAATGTTTCTCCTATATGGCTGCAGAAAACTTTGGATTCTTTTAGAAAGCTGTATTTAGAACGTAATCACTTTTGATACACTTTTTTCTTTTTCCTCGGTCAGGTGAAGAGTGTTCTGGATGACATGCTGGAGAAGTTACCGGAGGAGTATAATCTGGCAGAGCTCATGTCTAAAACAGCCGAGAGGAGCCCCTACATCCTGGTGTGCCTGCAGGAGTGTGAGCGAATGAATCTGCTGCTGGCAGAGATACACAGATCATTAACAGAGCTGGACCTGGGACTGAAGGTAGGAGACAAAACAATCAATACAGATGATTACTGATTATTCAGAACCAGCTGTATTTGAATACTGCACCTGCATGGATTTCTTAAGTTTGTTTGGGGAAAACCCCCTTGAAATGTCTGAATTTTTAAAAAGTTTTTATACTAATGACAATAATTCATGATTATCGATTAGGTACCATTGCTTGGTATCCTCTATAAGGAGTCATATATGAATTAATATACTTCTCCATGGATATACACCGTTGTTCAAAAGTTT